ATAAAAATCATTTTTCCTATGCGCGCGTCCAATTTGTATAATTTATAAGGCTTTTTCGCGCTTGTACGAGAATGAAGGCTTTGTTGTGAATCAATGAATTATTAGAGAAGATAGGGAAACTAGTTGCGTGCATATATGCGGCAAATGGAGCTGCGAAATAACTTTACTTCGCGTAGAAGCTAAAAGGGAAACGTATATATAAGCATTTTATGGAATATCCCCGACTCTGTAACGCATTCACAACCAGAATAAGAGCCGAGTAGTAGGAGTGGTAACTGTTCTACACGTTGCGCGTATATGCATATAATTATGAAAACGAATCATCCACACGTTTGGTATCACTGACAAGGTCCATAAAGCACATCTTCATGCAGTCATTGACAGTTACTAATTTTTAACGATGCATCATTACTTTATAAAAATACATTATATTAAATTTTACATGCTTAAATTTGTGTTGATTAATTTCAAAAAATAATAAACTTTAAAGTTTTTTGAAGCTATGGCTTTTATTGGGAGCGCGGCAAAATCTCCAGTGACACAATCTCTGCGACTAAATCTCCGCGCGACTAAACCTCCGCCACATGTTTAAAAATTTTTTTATGTTTTTTAGGGATCTATTAATATTATTGTATTACTTTACTGGGTTATTTTGGGTTACTTTGGGTTATTTTGTGATATTTTGTCTCCGGAGATTTTGTCGCGGAGATTGTGTCGCGCGGACATCATGTCGGTAACCCGTTTTTATTAGAGTAACATTTTAAGCGGTAAACGATAATTTTTTTTGCTACAAAATTGTGTCAGTCCTCAAAATAATAACCTTAACAAATAATTACAAATTATGAAAAAAATACTCATCGATTTTTATAGAAAATTCTTGGCATTATATACAGTCTATAAAATGCATTGATTTTTTTATTAAGGTTGGCTTTTCTGCAAAATGAAGTTTATAAAATCGTATGATCAGAGTAGCGCAGTAAAAATTATTTATCCAGCCGAAACAGTCGCTAAGTAAATTATGAGCAAGTGTATAGTGTATAAGAGATACATAGGTAACAAAATATCCTCGTAAAACCCAGTTGTCGTTTTTCCTTGTACGTCATTTGGTCTGTAGTGCGCAAGACATATGCTTTGCAGCAAACACAGCAGAAGCAGAAATAACATAGAAAACATCCTATTTATCATACAGACCCATAGCAAACCATTTATACTTATGTGAATATTAGCGAGCAAAGATTTTTTTTACTTATTGCTAAATCCTTTTTTATAGTTTATCTAATAATGAATTATATAACAGCATTACTAAAAATGCATATTATATACAGCACAGTTTTATAATTTTTTACATTGTATAAAAATAATAATTTTAAAATAAACTACATAAGGATCGTAATTACGAGAAGACCTTAAGACAGGTCTCTTGGTTTCTCATAATAAGTTAAGAAACTAGTCAAAAATAAAGATGAACTATTTTAAAATTGTTGAGATTATTTATCACCCGTTTTAAGGATCACTTAAATTTGTAGAGAAAGGCTGTATTTGAGCCTCTAAAAATATATGATTGACGGTCTCAAAACTGTAAAAAAAATTAAATATTATTATTTATAATGTTATTAGTTACTAATTTCATTTTCAAATATCGTATATACAAAAAAAGCCTAAAAAGTTGCTAGTTACATACATTTTATGAAAAAAAAAATCATCGAATAGTAACAAAAGTACAGTATTAATCTATGAATAATCCGGACAATTCAGTAACAAACGATTAAGCATTTATAACTTCCTTCTGTCGTACAGAAACTGAATACAAGACTACATTTTTACGTATACATGTGCGATCATTTAAGGTTAGTGCGTAGAAAAAAATACGAGAAAAAGGGAAAAATGTAAGAATTGTTGCGGTTTAAAGTGTGACAAGGTGCCTAAAAGTCAGAAGAAAAAGAGGTACCATTATGCTGATGTTGCGCCGCATATCGCGCACTCATACTACTTTTTTTCCCTCATAGTAGTATTCGGGTTCTGCACTTCGACAGTGTACTTATAAGAACACGCTACACGTACATATCTATAAATGTATTTAAAATTTTAAAATTTACACAATGTTACACAATGCATAAAAAAATGTCCAAATTGGCTTGAAATTTTTTTCATTATTATAAATTTTTATTTAACGCAAATATTGTTCATTATTTTGAAAAATGATAATCAAAATTTTCTCTTGAAACAAAGAAAATACGTTCAATAGAAAGAATTCAAAAGAAATTACATTTATAAGTTGTTATATTCCGGATTGATAAGTACGACTAAAACCTTTCAGATCACCTCAATATCATCCTAGCATTCAGTAAATTTAAGCTGAATTCGATGTGTACTTTGAAATATTTTAGAATTAATGGAAAAAAAATTTTGTGATCTTGAAATTTTATGAAATAAAATTAACTACGGCGAATCTATGAATTTGAATGAAAAGCCATGTTGGCGACAATGCCCGTCCAGGCCCCAGCTTCGCAATGGTCAAAAAAATTTTTTTAGTCGAGTTTTTTACATATTCCTATGTAAAATTTTCCGCTGAATCCGAATTTGCATGTTGCCAGGCCCAAAAACGTGCCCAAAATTGTTTAAACAAATTTTTTCAAACAAATGGTCAAAATTTATGTTTTTTGACCTGGCAACATGCAAATTCGGATTCAGCGGAAAATTTTACATAGGAATATGTAAAAAACTCGACTAAAAAAATTTTTTTGACCATTGCGAAGCTGGGGCCTGGACTACGTAGTTATTTTTAAAGTGGTATATTTTTTCACTTTTTTGATGACGTACTATAAATAATTTGAAATTCCAGGAACTGATGAAGTCACGAGTTCTCAACGATTCGAGGAATTGATGATTTCTCAAGTTCATACCAATTTGGAAAATTTATTACTTCATGACTAAGAAATTTTGATAATTAATGACATGCGAGTTTCTGAATTCGTTGGAATGAAAAAAATTCTTGGGTCCCGCGAAATTTCTGATTTTTGTTTCTTAAAAGAAAAAAAAATTAGTTTTACATAGGTCTGTACAGATGATGTCTGATTTTTGAAAATCCATTTTAATTTGTGATCAAATTTTACATAAAAAATCATAATTGAACAATTTTTTCATATTCACTTTAAAAAAGCATAATGAAATTCGAAATTGAAAATATAACTTTGAGGCTTTAAATCAACGAAAGATAGTCTTAGGAAGGATGATTCAGGACGAAAAATGGTTCAGGATTTTCATTCTTCAATGTACTCTTTAAAAGTTTTTTTGAACTTCTATTTATGGCTTATTGCGCTAACTGTGGATTGACCCATTTTGATCTATAAAAAACCTATCTGGTTATTTGATTCCAATACCATTTTCCGGAAAAACTATTGAATGTAATGGGATGAAATTTGGCATAGTTGTTCATAGCATTAATACCGAGGGCTCCCAGAGCCGATTTTAAAAATTCGGTTTAGAAAAAAAGTTATGCAAATACAAATTTTTTAATACTCAAAATCGGGGTCGGTCAAAATCGGGGCTTCGGCATCACCTTAATAAATATCGAAGAAATCTCAAAAATTTAGAGCTAAATTTTTGCCATCATTCAAAAAAATTATTCATTTTTTATTACGATTCTTATTTAAGCACCATCAACTTATTAATTTTCGTAAAAAAATCAGCAAAAGTGATACAAATAGGTCCCAGAGCTTATCCTACTTTTTCCTCCCCCCCTCTCTCTCTCTCCAATCATAAATAACATGGTGACCGCCCTCTAGAAAAAAAGAGAACAAGAGAGTTATGAGATTCTATCTATGGCACAAACACAAATGCATCATCGTTCGCGTAGCAAGAGTATATATTTCTCTGCATCGCTTGCCTTCCGTGGTACGCTGGCCCCTCGAGAAATGACGCCTTACTTGTCTGTGATGCGTTGTCCTGGAAAAATGCGGCTAAACGATTTTTCTCTTAAAATTAGCAAGGAAGCTCAAAGATTATAAATTAATTTCAATTCACGCAATAATGATAATAAGTCCATCATAGGTAAAATTGTTATGAAGCAGATCAAGCAAGCATAGCAGGTAAAATTCGTAAATACATACACGAGTTAAATAGAGTTTAGATTACAATATGCATCGATATAAAAATTTGAATGGTAACGTTTGTATACAAAACAAGGAAATATGAAGGCGACAATAACAATTTTTAATTTGTGGAAAAAGTAAGAAGTTGCAGCTTTTGTCTCGAAGGTGTTTGAAATAAGTTAATACTTGCCCGGGTAGTACTGTCAGCCCATTCCTTTACTCTTGCAAGAGACATATTGTTTTCATTACATTCGCTCAAAAAAACCCTTGATTTAAATATCGTGGTGACGAAAACATAATTGACTTGACACAACTACCGTAAAGATAGTGCACTAAATGTGTATCGAAATATAGCATCAGCTAAACTCGTGAGCTTCAATTTGTCGAGTCAGCGAAACTCACAGATCTAATTTGTCCGAGTGGCTTTTTCATCGTATCTGAATACGATATCGCGTAACGAAGTGCAAAGATGCCGATGTATTAAGCCCGTTTCCTCCATGCATTCTCAATAATGGTTCTTGCCTATGCTGGTCTTGTATGTGCATAAATGTATAGTCGTGCAAGTAATTTATGTGCTTGCCTTTAGCTAAGCTGAATTTCATGTACGTACATGCGTGATTAATATTTCATCACTAATTTCAAAGCAATATAGTGGTTGTTTGCAATTAATATCATTCACTATAATATGATGCACGTGATGCTGATTTATTAGTCCTTTGAAAAATATAAATACTTTATCAAAATTATTCATTGGTTTGATTAAAATTGAAAATAAAACAATAAATTTAAACAATATTAAAACAATATTTTCCGATTAAAAATGTGAGTTTGTGTTTTCATTTTTATTTACATGGCGTTAAGTTATTGAAGGATAACTGTATTTATGACCTTTAAAAGCAATATACTTACAATGTTACGGGCTCCTCCGGACTTGGTGGTGCAGCACAAATGAATGTGTTGATGTAGTGTCGTGACGAGCCCGGGGATGTTGGTCCTCGGTCATCGACCTAAAAAATGCAATAATATTTATTCATACATGACTCAAGGGTAATAATAACGCAACCATCGACGATCGTATTTTTTGAAAAAAGACATTTTACAACCTTGTAGGCGATTGAAATACATGATACGCTTATACTTTGTATTCAAGAAACGAAAACAGTGATGCGCAATTCCAGTTTTATTTTCACCCAATAAAGCTGCTGTTATCATGTCTAGCACCTCATGCGAAAGAGTTGTTATTCGCATCAGGCACAGAGGTAATGCAGCAATTCTAACTCTGCACAGAATATCACAGTAAAAGGATTAAATACACTGCTGTGGCTGAGAGGGTGTTGATTTACGAGAAATGAGGCATTTGAATTACGATGAAAAGTTTTTTATAGGTACGGAATCAAAATGCACCAGGAGCATCCCACAGACGAACGAAGCAATGATAAGTTTACTTTCAAAACATTGATCTTCGTTTTGGTAACGAGCAAGTCTAAATTTTATTATAAATAGCTTTGGCAAAAGGGTAAAATAATAACTGAAACGTTATGCTTTGAGGAAAAACATTTTTTCTTGATGTTTCATCGAAATAAATATTAATTATCATTTATAAAGTATCATTTATAATGATGAAGCTTACATTTCATGACATTGAAAAATGTGAAATGAAAAAAAAATTAAAAATCTATAATCGGATTGATAACAGGGAACTGCTGGATTTAACTATCAGAGGTGCTTTTAATCAACTAAGTTTTCAAATTTATGTTCAAACCATAAATGAGGACGAAAAGCATCAGCATAGAGACAGAATGAAAAAGTCAAAAAGACTGGGTGACTATGTATATGGGTATCTAGAGAGAGGGGGGGGGG